CAACAGCAGAAACAAAACTAAAGCAAACACTTCTCTGGTAAGGAGAGAATACAAGCAACAACTAGATATTGTGTGTTCTAAAAAGGTTCTGCCTGCTTCAAGTGCATCTGCCATAAAAGATATATGGATAAAGTGGAATTCCACCCAAAACCTAACGCACGCCAAACCTACTCCTAGCCCCATTCTAAGCCTAATCTATCTAACCCTCTTAGATTGTAAGCTCCCAGGATCAGGGCCCTCCTATCCCTCTTGTATTGAACTGTATTGTCTCCCGTTCTATTGTAAAGCGCTCAGCAAACTGTTGGCGCTATATAAATCCCGTATAATAATAATAATAACCGTTTGAAGAAAAGATCACTAAACTTGCCTATTCTGAAGCTGTTCTGGTCCGACCTCCAGCGGCGGCTACTGTGCGCACAGAGAAAGCTGACAACGGCCGGGAAATGAACGAAAACGACATCACCCATAGATTTACTATGGGGCATTCGTTGTCAGCTGCCTCTACTCTACACAGCTCGGCCTGGGAGCAGAGCGGAGCGGCTTCAGAATAGGTAAGTATAGCGATCTCTGCTTTACAGGGTTAGATTAGGCCAGTGTCTCTCAATTATTTTCTGTCATGCCCCCCCCCCCCCCCCCCCCCCCCCCCCCCCCCCCTAGGAAGAAGAAAACATTTCGCGCGCGCGCCCCCCCCCCGCGCGACTGTAAATAGTATTTTTGCATCAGCACCTCTGCACTGCACACTTACCGGCTTTTCCCTCACTCGATTTTCGCGGGTCCGCTCGGCTCCGCCTCCTCGCCCGTGATTGGCCGCATGTGTACCTTTCCTGAGCTACAGTTCTGGCGGCCAATCACCGGTGAGGAGGCGGAGCCGAGCGGCAGGAGCAAGGGAGTGGCCGGAGTGACGGAAGGAGCAGCGCTTCCTGGATGGATCATCGTGGGAGCCAGGTAAGAGACAGCAGCCCTCTGCCCACCCCTGTACTTAGTGTCCCTTCTGTCGGAAAGGGGGGGGGGGGGGGGGGGGCGGCGGCACCGCGCCGGCGGGACGGAGCGGCGGCCGCGCCCGCGCCCCCCTTGACGGAGCCTCGCGCCCCCTATTTGAGAAGCACTGGATTAGGCTCAGAATGGGGTGGGAGTAGGTTTACAGTTAGTTACGTTTCAGGTGGAGTTCCACTTTAATACAGAAAACAAAAAGCAGTGTGTAAACAGACCTTACATAGGAGAGAATCCAATTACATTAGCAAATAGCAGCTTGTCATCTGGACTAGTCTGGTAATGTTGAAGATGTGTCTCCACTCAACCAACTGAAGAGGAAACTTCTGTGATGAAATGTCTTCATATTACTGAAGAAGTCCTATGGAATGTCACCAAAACCACTAGAGATACAAGGACCTGGATGGAGGAAAATCTTCATGCACAAATGTGGTTTTCTTTGAAGGGCAGTAAATAAATTACAATTTCTATTTATATAAATGGTTTTTTGATATTCTTGACACAATGCAGCAATACAACCAACTGCTACTCTTTACAAGTGTATCTAAAGCCAAAAACATTTTTTTTTTGGTAATGAAGAGAGTAGGAAAGGAGAAGGACCCTTGTCAGATTTATATTGCTGTCGGGGTCCCTGTTAGGAAGATTTACTCTGTCCTGGAGACCACCAGGACAGAAAGTGAGAGAAAATCCAAAAGTGTAGTTTCCATCAACTCCAATGGGGACGCTTATTCCAGTGACAACGAAGAGAAGATTTCCCCTAATTTGGAGAGATTTCCTGTTGTGTCTACAGGGCAGGAAGTGAGGGGAAATCTACCTGATGGGACAGATTTAAAAACACACGACAGTTGCTTTCATCTGTAAAATGTCGATGGTTTAGTCCTGGTCGATGTCATCCTATTGCTACCACCGCTTCTTGACCTAGGCCAGGTGTGGGCAACTGTGGCCCTCTAGCTGTTGTAGAACTACAAGTCCCATGATGCATTGCAAAACGGGCAGTTACAAGCATGACTCCCAAAGGCAGAGGCATGATAGGACGTGTAGTTCACCAACAGCTGGAAGGCCACAGTTGCCCACCCCTGACCTAGGCCTTGGTATTTTGTATATTTGACCCTGTGGCCTGACTGTAAAGCAGCCTTTTTCAACAGGAGCGCTGGGGCACCCTGGCTTTCTCAGAAGTTCTGTTGCAAAATGCCTAAAAAAACTGTTCCAAACTATCCAAAAATAAATTCACCTTTGTAAACATGTTATATGTTCCACCCGTCACATGTTCCCACTGCTGCAGGCTCTCTCCGATCTGCCTATAGTGACAGCGAGACAAAGATTTTTCTCCCTGAACTCGCTGTCACAATTTAAAAAAAAAGAAAAAAGCGCCATTCATTCACAGAGTTTTGTGAATGGGAAAACCACAACTACCATCAACCTTTGCAGCTGATGGCTTGTAGTTTTCAATAAACTACCACAGCGCTGGTGAGGTAGTTCATTGATGGTTCCGGTCAGTGAGTAATTGCCTGCCAGCACAAGGTTCGAGCAGACAGCTTACACCGACAGTCTACAGAAGCCTTGCATTGCACATACAATCTGCTGATCGCTGGTGCAATGCTTTACCTAATAAAAAAGAATAAATAAATGCATATACCTGCAAAAAGATCATCATTTATCTATTTTTGTAAAGGTGAACTTATCCTTTAAACCTTCCTTTTTCTTTGCTACGCAAAGCCACAGGTTTTTATTGTGCAGCAGTACAACCACTGTGAGGGCTAGACACCTGTGTCCTAACAATCAATGATGTAATCAGTCAATAATGAGAACATTGGGGGCCTGCACAGTGTCCCTATTTACCCCCTGCCCTGCTCCTCTCCATCAGCACTGGGGTCAATTTAGCTGTATGAGGGAGAAAAAACTAGGGGGAAGAGAAATGTTAGATTACTAGTCAGTAGCAGTGTGCAAAGCATATTTGTGTGGTAAGCAATCCCTTCTAATGTTGAGTGTCCTAGGTGTGTGGATGCTGCCGCATTATATAAAACTAGGAGTTTAGTTTTTACATTTGGGTTGCTTTAAGATTTAGCATCATTTTAAAGGGGGCCTTCACTGAAAAATTGTTAAGAGAGTGTTGGTGCGAGTGCGATGGTGTGAGTGTGCTGGTGTGTGATGGTGTGAGTGTGATAGCGCAAGTGTTTTGGTGTGTGATGGTGTGAGTGTGCTGGTGTGTGAGTGCGATGGTGTGTGAGTGCGATGGTGAGTGTGAGTGCGATGGTGTGTGAGTGCGATGGTGTGTGAGTGCGATGGTGTGTGAGTGATGTGCGATGGTGTGTGAGTGCGATGGTGTGTGAGTGCGATGGTGTGTGGGTGTGTGCGATGGTGTGTGAGTGCGATGGTGTGAGTCTGGTGTGAGTGCGATGGTGTGAGAGTGCGATGGTGTGAGAGTGTTGGTGCGAGTGCGATGGTGTGAGTGTGTTGGTGTGTGATGGCGTGAGTGCGATGGCGTGAGTGCGATGGCGTGAGTGCGATGGTGTGTGAGTGCGATGGTGTGTGAGTGCGATGGTGTGTGAGTGCGATGGTGTGTGATGGTGTGTGAGTGCGATGGTGTGAGCGTGCGATGGTGTGAGAGTGCGATGGTGTGAGCGTGCGATGGTGTGAGAGTGCGATGGTGTGAGAGTGCGATGGTGTGAGAGTGCGATGGTGTGAGAGTGCGATGGTGTGAGAGTGCGATGGTGTGAGAGTGCGATGGTGTGAGAGTGCGATGGTGTGAGAGTGTTGGTGTGAGTGCGATGGTGTGTGATGGTGTGTGAGTGCGATGGTGTGTGAGTGCGATGGTGTGTGAGTGCGATGGTGTGTGAGTGCGATGGTGTGTGAGTGCGATGGTGTGAGAATGTTGGTGTGAATGTTGGTGTGAGAATGTTGGTGTGAGAATGTTGGTGTGAGAATGTTGGTGTGAGTGCGATGGTGTGAGTGCGATGGTGTGAGTGCGATGGTGTGAGTGCGATGGTGTGAGTGCGATGGTGTGAGTGCGATGGTGTGAGTGCGATGGTGTGAGTGCGATGGTGTGAGTGCGATGGTGTGTGCGATGGTGTGAGTGCGATGGTGTGAGTGCGATGGTGTGAGTGCGATGGAATGCCTGTGTGCTGGAGTGCCCGTGGGCTGGAGTGCCCGTGTGTTTATCCATTCCTTACTCTATATGAAATGGAAAATGGTTTTAGCTTTAGATATATATTAATTCTGTTTTAGCCTAAAGTTGGCTGGTAATGGAAAACTATGTAAAAAAAAAAAAATACTGTCAGCACACAACACATTCATGCAGTTTTGGGAACTTTTACATGAACATTTGTGAACATTATTAGCATAGTTCTTACATGAAGCTCTTAGTATTCTAATTTACTGGTCTTTATAGGTTAGAGTCCACTTTAAGACTGCTTTGTTTTAAAAATATAAAACCATATAATTTCTAATGTTTATTAACGTACCGAAAATGAAATCTGTCTAATTACCCCTGACCAGTTATAAATGTAAACCAAAAAACAAAGTTGGGGGAATGATTTGCAGTCTTCCATTCTAATGGCAAACCATATTCCTGATCCAGACAGTGGTACTGCAAAAATTCAGTCAGATCAGCAAACTGCAATTCACCTGGGTATCAAAACTGCTGATCTGTGAAAAAAAAACAAAAAAACCAGTAGAACGGATATTTTGATTGGATCCTATTCTATGGGGTCAATATAAACAACTCTATTTTTAGATGCTTTGATGAATGAGGCTCATTGTTCCAATACATACTAACACTGACCGCTGCGCTCTTCCACTAGTTCTTATTGGCAGGTTCATGTATCTACTCCCATCGCTGTTACATTTCCATTGTGCGAGAGGTGGTGTAGGTAAAACATGGCCTGCTGGAACAAGACTGTTCTGATGCCATCTCCCGCTTCTTTGCGCTAAGAAGGAAGTTTCGGAGAACATCGTGATGGCCTTCCCTCTATTGCCAGCACATGGATTTCTCCTGCTTATGTTGCTAGCCTTCAGTTCAGTAATTTCAATTTTCCAGTTACTTTATTCACGTTCTCTTCTTCGCCTATGATGCCAAGGATGGTGTGTGAACCTGCTGCAATCTGAAAGGGAACCAGAAAAAGTGTCAGTGGGAGACGATCACCTCCATATCTTAAATAAGGAATGCGCTAAAACCACAAACTATTCCTAATTTAGTGTAGAAACATTAGTGCAAAAGATATATATATATCTATTCTCAATTAATATCAAAAAAATATCAAAATTATGTGCAAAACTATTTTTTAGTGCATAAGTAATTTAATGAAGACGTCATTCATGACGAAACTAGTAGGGCTTGGCTTGCTGGATGCTGACGTCTGTGGAGAGGATTGAGTCACGAGCGCTGTAGTGAGTGTGCGGGGAACAGGAGACTGTTATACCATTTGCTGTTTTATGCTGTTATACTGGTGTCGGTGAAGACACCCTTTTTGTGAGTGTAAATTTTTATTAAATTGTTGGATACTTTTATAAAGAAACTGGCTGCACCATGATTTTCTCTTTCATTCCCAAACATGACCTCGGTGGAGAGATATATAAAAAGAGAGAGTGATATAATGCTCCTGGAACCATTATATTGAGTGGTGGATACCTACCTTATGGATGATTGTGTAGCTATTGATCATCACACCTGAGAAGTTGATTCATTGCATCTGCTCCCAGAGCAAAAAGCATTTTTTGCTGATCTAGAGATTGATCAGCATGGAGCTCTGGTGAGTTACCCAACTTTACTTTGGTGGTGGATTTTGGCACAATTTCTTTGAGAGCACCTGAATTTGAAAAGGATTTGTTTGGACATTTGAAGAAATTCAAAATTGGACAATTTTTATATTCACTGATTTAATTATTTAAATTATTTATGCAATAAAAATAGTTTTGCACATAATTTTGATATTTTTTGATATTAATTGAGAATAGATATATATATATCTTTTGCACTAATGTTTCTACACTAAATTCCATTTATTTAAGTTATAGCACTAAGAAATTTATTTGGTTTCTTTGAGGTGGAATTGCTGCTTTAAAGTATTAAGGGTGTGGCGCTTTTATTACACTTGTGATCACCTCCATATGTTTGTAAAGGAAAACTCAGGACAGGATAAAAATTCTACTTCTCAAAATACATAAAATATATTTATGTGAACGGTTTCTGGTCAAAAGATTTGTAAATATGTCTGACCAAATTCAGCAAACCCACACCTAACAGACTACTACAGAATCTATTAAAGAATGTAAACAAATATATTATTGAAATAATCTAGAAAAGAAAATCAACAATGAACTCTTTACGACAAACTTCTGTTATCCCCCTATATTAAAGCATAAACACGCTATAGTACACACATGTACATCCTACGGGGTATCTACTTCCAATCCTGCTTTTACAGTTATGTAAACCACCTATATTGCACAGGAAGAACATATCAAAAGGTTCACAGGCAGGGGTGTATTCACCACAAGGCAAACAAGGCATTTGCCTAGGGCAGCATTTTTCAGGGGGGCAGCACTGCCCCCTGGAAGAAGGGACACTTGTGGCATGGGGATCAGGTGGGATCCAAGAGAGGCTGCTTGATAATGTATGCAGAGGCTGACTCTCGTTCCCAGGGATGTCTGGAGCTGTAAAGGTGTGTGTATTTTTTTCTCTTGCCAGGGGGGGAATGTGTGTTAGTGGAAAACTCTCGGGGGGGGGGGGGGGAACAGGGGTTGTTGGTCAATGTCAGGCTTCCTCCGTGGGGAAGGGGGCTCCAATTTTTGGAGCAGCAAGGAGAAGCTATCACTTGAGTCTGTCCCATTCCAGTATCCAGAGGCGGGAGTGCCTGTAACATAGGCTGCAACACCTATCCATCCTTTAAAGGGGAGCTCTGCTGAGCTTATTACCATACAACCCAGGAGCTTCTTCTGTGCTGCATACTACCCAGAGGGAGGTTATCCTTACGCCCGGCATATCTCGCTTCCTTAAAGTGGACCTCTGAGGGTTTATTTATATGCGCATTTCCAATGCGCATCTGGTGAGTGCGCATTTTTACTATACCTTCAAGCACTAAAGCATTGCTGCGGTTGGAATCATAAGCACGAATGTCACCATATGAACTTGTATTTATTATTGTATTTGATGTTACTTATCCACATAAGTTTATCCATTTTAACCTTGGATACAGATGTACATTTGATCATTTTATCCAAGCTTTTATATCGTGTTTGGTCAGAAATATAGATTATTTTTAGCGCTGCACTCTTGATTTCTATTATATAGAGTTAGCAAAAACCGCAAATGCTAATAAACGCGATTTGCCGCGTTAACAAGCGTTTTGCATTTGAAACGCTGATAAAATCGACAACTGAATGCAAGTCTTCTGCATTCAAAAAAAACAACTATAAACTCAAATGTCTGTAAATGACAATGTGTACATGGACACATAGGGAAACATTAGGGAGAGTTCAGGGGCTGCTGAAAAAAACGTTGAACAGCTCCTAGATGTGAGTTTATCAGCTGAAAACCCTGAAAGGAATTTACTAAATCTGGAGCAGGAGGGGTAGAAGACAAGTGTCAGCTAAGCGTAGCAGTTGAAATACCTAGTATAGAAAAAAAGAAATGCACTCCAATAAGGAGTAAATAGCAAGCATGCAGTACTACAATCAGGGGCGGACTGACCATTCGAGCACTCGGGCACCGACCGAGGGCCTGGGGTCAGTAGGGGGCCCCATGAAATGCCCCTGGTACCTTTTTATAGGCTTTTTTGGGTGTGCTTTGAGTGTGGGCAAGGACACAGGGGCCCCATGATCCCCTATTGCCTGGGGGCCCCATGAGTTGCCAGTCCGCCCCTAAATACAATTAATCTGGGCCACGGTCCTGGTCCACCAGGTGATGAAATACTGCAGTTTAGTCGATCGGCAGCACTGGCGGCTTCCAGGCTGATTCTCGTGAATTGCTGAGTCGGGCAGAAGTGCAGTCATGACTGGACGCGCTGAACATGGCGACGTGTTTGCGAAGCCATGACCTGAAGAACAGCATTCTCCGTAAACGTTTCCTCCATCATGTCCAGTCGCGATGTCACTTCTGCCCGAATCAGCGATCCATAGGAATCAGGAAGCCCTGAGAGACTCTGGTGCTGGACCGCAGTATTTCATCCTCTGGCAGAATGGGAACGTGACCCGTGTTGGCAAGAATTATTTGTAGCACTACAAAGCTTGCCATTTACTCCCTTTGTGAGTGCATTTATTATATCTGTAATAAAGATATTTCAACTGCTACACTTAGCTGGCGCTCGTCTTCTCCCCCTCCTGTTCCTTTGTTTCAGAGTTGCTTCTTGCTCCTATGACGAAACTGCCACAGTAGTGAGATTATTCCCCAGATGGGCATTTTTTTGGACTATTCTTTGGCATAATAGTGGACCGTTAACTTTACCTTTGCTCCCCAATAAATTTCCCCTGGTTATTTCTGCACTATTACTATACAGGATTTATATCTCAGCGCTTTACAATATAACGGGAGGCAATACAGCAACAATACAGTTCAATACAAGAGGGTTAGGAGGGCCCTGATCCTGGAAGCTTACAATCTAAGAGGGAGGGGCTAGTGGTACAAAAGGTAGTAACTGTGGGGGATGGACTGGTAGGAGGAGGAGAAGATTCCATTATTAGCGGAGGGCAGGATAGGCTTCCCTGAAGAGATAAATCTGGAGCAGCTGTGCACAGCAACCAATCAGATTCCATCTTTCGTTTTCAAAGTTTAACTGAACAAGCTGGAGTTGGAAACATAACTAGTTACTACGTACAGCTGCTCCGGTTTTAGTAAACTCATCTGGATCCTGCCATAGCGTGGATACGTTTATTCCTGCTTTATGTTGCCAAGTATAAATTGCAGGCATAGATTTAATAAATAGCCACCACCCCTCGCCAGCATCTTCTGGGTGATGGGCCTTTGGCTATCTTGATTGGCAGGTTGGGGAATGATGCAACTTCAAGCATGGGAGTTCATTCTGTCATCGAGATGGCAGAGAATATGCACTGCACATTCTAAAGAAAATAGCCAACAGGTAGGTGTTCATTTTAATGCAAATAAGACGCATAGGAGTTGATTTACTAAAACTAAAAACTGTGCAAAAATTGGTACAACTCTGCATAGAAGCCAATCAGTTTCCATTTTTTTTTTCCATTTTTTAAATTGAACAAGCTGAAGTTAGTAGCTGATTGGCTACCATGCACAGCTGCACCACATTTTGCACTCTCCAGTTTTAGTAAATCAACCCCAGTGTATCTCTTTTACAATAAAGAGCCTGTCTGCTCACATTTTTTTCACTTACGTTCCCCATTAACCTCCCTAGTGGTCTGATTATGTCCATATTTCTGTGCTCAAAGCGGTACATTTTTTTTTGTATGGAAATATGTCGTTTTTTTTATTGTAGGCTGGTAATGTTTAGGAATAACTCACTGAAATCTGGCCAAACAAGAGTCTAGTAAACATTCCGGGTATGATAAAATTTGAAACACGAAATCATAAATTATAATTTAATTAAAAATCATAAAAAATAATATAATAATAATACATTTAATTCAATAATATAATCAAACCAAAAACACTGAAATTTGAAATAGAGCGCCAAGTTCGCACATCACTGAGCAAAGTCGCAAAATCTGATGTGTCTGATGAGGAATTTCCCCCACAAATCATTATCACTCAATTCTGCAAGTGGTTCTGATTTACTATCGCTGTTCTCTAGCCGGTCTAAAACCGCTTTTGACCTAAAGGGGCGCTTTTTTTGGACGCCATGGACGTTTCTCAGTTTCCAGGCAGAAAGAACAGTAAAAATGCAGGCAGGGCGCAGGACAAAGCACTCGGGACAAAATGTATGTGAAATGGTTTGATACAGGAATGTTTTACTATGTGAATTTAGTGAATGTCACTTTTAAAATTGAAAATTTCCCGCCAGTTCCTTCCCCGTACGTCCCGACGTTGCAGAGTACGGAACCCGGAAGACAGATGCAGGCATCGGCCAAAGAACATTGTCAGGGACACTGCAGGAGGGACATCGCGGGAGCCCAGGACAAGGTAAGTGACGAAGAGATCCCGGAGCAGCGCTGCAGTGTATTCCCGAGTGTAGCTCGGGGTTACCGCTTGTGGTGCTGAAACCTTACCCCGAGCTACACTCCGGAATACCGCCAGGGAGGTTAAGCAACAGATAATGTAGAAGTGAAATTGTCCCATTCAGGGCAAAGTGCAGTGTCTGTGTAGAGGCTCCCCACCGATACTCACCTCTCCAGCGATCCCCCTCTGCTCCTAACTCCATTGCAAAAATATTTGGTATTTCCAGTGTTGGGGAACATGTAACCTTCTCTCATAATGCAGTGTTTGGGTCTAGCAGCCAATCACAAGGTCCAAGCACTAACCCATAATGAAAGGAGTGAGGTCACCATATTCCTTGCACTCAGACACTAGTCAAACACTGTAACTTTGTCCTGAATTGGCAAGTGAAGGATTGTATTGGAGAAAAAAAAAACACAACATAAATACTTAGCTACCTAATGCAGCATCGTTTCGATGTTCCAAGCTGTCCCCTGCCACCTCTAAGCTCGAGAACTGAGCAATTACGTGATCGCTGATCACCGCTCAGTTCTTGGGTCCACTCTGAGCAAAGAGTAATGACTGTCAGTCACCGCTCTCTGCTCTACCCCTCCAGTGCTCATTGGAGTGCTAGGCTGTGTAGTGGGCAGAAGCGGCTGGCTCAGGATCTCAGTGGCAAGTGACCAGAAAGGGTCTTAGACTCCAGCCAACTTTAGGAAAGAAGAATAAAACAACTGAACGTATGTTCTCCTGCAGTGGACTCCACATGTCAATATTCCCACATGAGTAAGAAAGGAATGCAAGCCTTGCTGCCCTCAATGGACCAGGGAAATCCAAAGAGAACTGTATGTAAGAAACAAAAAAAAAAAAAAGAAGAAGAAGAAGAAGAAGAAGAGGGCGCACAGGCCCAGTGCCTTACCTTAAAAATGAGATTTATTTATAAATTGTAAAATACAATAGAAATAAAATCAGATTAAAATGAAAAGCATGTCGCAAGGGATGCAAAGTGGTCCAGGAACCCCTGAAGGTGGTCTGGTGGGGGACTGTGAACCTCTGGATAGCTGGTGGCTGACACCTTTTGAGGTTGTACCTCTTCCTCAGGGTTTTTGATCTGATTTTATTTCTCTTGTATTTTACAATTTATAAATAAATCTCATTCTTCCGGTAATGCGCTAGGCCTGTGCGCCCTCTTTTTTTTTCCTACATCCAGTCAACTTTAGCCTGCTGTCAGCCAAGTCTGAGTCACAGGAGTGCAAAAGTAAGCGCACTCCTGTGACCCACATGAGAAGTATGACCAAATAGACTTTAGCCATACTTTTAAAGAACAAAATCAGGGAACCAACCAGGAACGATACCTTCTCTCTAAACCAATCACAGATGTAGGTGATGGAAAATCCTTACATCTCTTAAAGTACAAAATGCACATGGTATTGGTGATGTTTGCAATGTCATGTAGATAATAAGAATGACAAACATCTGAAAATGACTTATGAGGCTCATTCAATGGCTGCACAGTCTAGAACTGGACTAGGGAGTGCCTGGAATAGATACACAACTAATGTGTCAAAGAAATATAAAGAAATGTGTTAAAATGTCCAAGAAATTTCTGCAATGAGCATAAAATATGTATGTGAAACCTGGGCCAATTCTGGTGTGTGTGTGTGTATGGTGTGTGTGTGTATGGTGTGTGTGTGTATGGTGTGTGTGTGTGTATGGTGTGTGTATGGTGTGTGTATGGTGTGTGTGTATGGTGTGTGTGTATGTGTATGTGTGTGTGTGTGTGTGTATGTGTGTGTGTGTGTATGTGTGTGTGTGTATGGTGTGTGTGTGTGTGTGTGTGTGTGTGTGTGTATGGTGTGTGTGTGTATGGTGTGTGTGTGTATGGTGTGTGTGTGTATGGTGTGTGTGTGTATGGTGTGTGTGTGTGTATGGTGTGTGTGTGTGTATGGTGTGTGTGTGTGTATGGTGTGTGTGTGTGTGTATGGTGTGTGTGTGTATGGTGTGTGTGTGTATGGTGTGTGTGTGTATGGTGTGTGTGTGTATGGTGTGTGTGTGTGTGTATGTGTGTGTGTGTGGTGTGTGTGTGTGTATGGTGTGTGTGTGTGTATGTGTGTGTGTGTATGGTGTGTGTGTGTATGTATGTGTGTGCGTGTGTATGGTGTGTGCGTTTAAATTCTTAATTTATGGTTTCCAAAGTCATTCACTATTAATTATGTATATATACAGTATTCTATATTAGGTTTGCCAATGAGTTCTTGTACCTGAGTCCTGCCAGCATCCTGCACCAGGTAGGTTGGAAGATCCAAACTTATCGCCAGAGCTTGTAGCTGCATTAGGTGAGCTGCGTTTGCACCTTGGAGGACAACCTTCTTAGCCCTGTACAAAAATCAAAATGTACGATCAACAAAAAAGAAACAACTTATCGTTCTCCCTGTAAATGAAAGCTCATACTGAATGCCGTTTTCAATCCTTTACATTCATTTCCACTTTAAACCGCCAAATCTGTGCATGTCAAAAGAGTGTTAACAAAAACAAACTAAAAAAAAACAAAACAAAACAAAAAAAAAAAAAAAACCCTCTGTACATGATTTCAATTGTCACTTAAAGCTGAACTCCATGCAGAGATATAAAAGACGAATTATCAAGCTATAAGTCCTCATGCACACTTGACATTTTTACAGCGGCTGTTTTTGGCATTTGGCTTTTTTTTCTACAGCCAGTAAACCCCCCCCAGCATGTTATCCTGTGTGTCCATGCACATATAGACTGGAATCAACGATTTGTGACAAAAACTAGTGGGTTTCTAGAGGAGTTTTTCAACCGTAAAAACGCTCTAACGCTAAAAAAAAAGTGGCAAAATGCCAAAAACTGGCGTTTGTGGACTTTTTTTGGTAAAAGAGAAAAAAAACTCTACACGTGGCAAAACGCCAATGCAAAAAACGCAAAAAAAAAAAAAACCCAAAAAGCTGAAGAACTCATGACTTTACACAGCTAACGTTACCAGCATTAGCAAAACATCCCGTGTGCATGAGGGCTAATTTATACATTCCTTTTTTTAATGCAGGCAATCGAGTATCTGAATTTGCCTTAGTATCATCCTTTTGCAGTCCCTGTACATCAGACAGTAAGAGAGAAGCAGCGCAAGGTGCCGATCAGTTGCACAGCAGCATGCCAACAAGGCAAATGCTGAGTAGAGTGCAGAGTGATAGAGGACCTCATCAGTCAGCTGCCGCTCCTTCACTGTTCAGTGACATGCTGGGGGAGGGACAAAACTTGTACGTTTTAATTAATTGCCAACTCCACCTTTTTAAAAATGTTACACCTTAAATTTAGGGTGTAAGATCCAACATGGCGCCAAGCGGACCCCCAAGGCCCTAAACAGAATCCCCAGCGACAGTGTGCAGGGTTCTTCTGTCCTGCAGCAAATGTGTTTTTTGTTTTTTTAAATCGAAGCAACTGTGCAGGGCTCTGCCTACACTGCCATGTCATACATTCATTCATTCACAGGGATCTGTGAATGAATAAACTGCAAGTTGTGTCCCTCACCGGGTCAAACAGACTTGTAGTTCTAAATGGAACAAAAATGCGGTGATCATTGCATTCAGCACTTCAACTGAAAGTCTGTACCTCGGTATTGACAGAGCTGGAGAAAGTCTGCAGGAACCTGGCATTTTACCTGCAATTCAGTGATCGTGGTTGTAATGCTTTGCATGCTTGATTGCATTAACAATCATCCCACATTTTGTTTTTCTGCAAACATGGGTGCATTTATTTATGTTTTTTTTTTTCAAAAAGGTGGACTTGTCCTTTAACTGTAGCAGGAAAAAAAAAAAACAAAAATCAGTCTCAACTTCGCCAGACATGGCTGTGCTGGAGAGCAGTGTAAATCTCAGGACTGGAGGGACAGAAAAATCCTTATACGGGGAAACAGCACCCCCATATGTATTTAGCTGCCTGGAGTTCACATGAAACACGGATTGTTTCATATAACCAGTTCCATTTCAAAACCTGCAGTCTATACAGAATAAGGCAATGGGCATCATTTTGAGAACAGCGACACTAAAAGACCTGGATAGGCCTGTTCTGAACAGATCTAGTATTTCCTTGGATGTATGTCTTTACATTATGGAAGTACCTCAGTTGTATCTGGGGGGGCTGTATTTATTGTTAATCGTTCACCTGTACTTTGTGTCCTTAACCACTTCCCATCCAGCCTATGTACATATATGGCCGGAGAGGAGCAGTGCAGGGGCGGGTGGCCGTTTATAAACATCCTCCCGCTTCCCTGTTTCTGCGCACTCCCTGGGACACAGCGGAACACCGATCGCTGTACGGGACCTCTGTGTGAGGTCCTGATCATGTGATCACTGATTGGCCAATCAGTGATCACATAAATAGTAGTAAGCAAGATGTCACTTCTAACATCATTGCTTACTACGTGTGAAATCTGTAAATGATCGCAGAGGTCACATGGTACGAGGCTATTCACAACAGCCTTGTACCATGTGACAAGCTGTGACCAATCACAGCTCACACAATATTTCTCAATGGCTGCAAGAATGCAGCCAGAGAGAAGGAGAAAATAATAATTTTACAGCCTTCATGGGTGTAAAAGCAATCAGTGTAAAAAAAAAAAAATCATCACACGCCCACAAGTAGTACAGTATCACTATGGTGACACTGTACTGCTAGGATGACATTATCTTTAAAAAAAAAAAAAAAAATAAAAAAAAAAATAAATAAAAAAATAAATAAAAAAGGACAAAAAAAACCCAAAAACAAATATTATAAGAAAAAAAAAAAAAATGTAAAACATTTTTTGAAAAATTATAATTTTTGGTTATAAACTAATTTGAGTTATTTTTTTTACTAAAAAGATAATTGAATACATTTTGGCCAAGATTTATGAAGAAAGATTTATTTGCAACCTTTTATAAGAAAAACACTTTCAAAATTTTTGGATTTTCATTTATATAGCAAAAAAAAATAAAAATCCCAGTGGTGAATAAATACCACCAAAATAAAGTTTTATCTGTCTCAAAAAAAAAATGCTAAAAAACTCATATTGGTACAGTGTTGCATGACCGTGCAATTGTCATTCAAAGTGTGATAGAGGTGAAAGCTGAAAATTAGCCTGGACAGGAAGGGGGTGAAAGTGTCTGGACTTGAAGTGGTTAATAAAGAAACAAAAAACAAACAAACGGCAGTCTATGAGGAGGCATGGCTGCAGAGCTTCATGTTGTTGCACAACACTGGAAAAATCTGCACATAGCCACAGAGAGGTAATATTCCATCACACAGCATTGGTGAAGGGAAATGCAAAGAAGTTTAAATTTTATGTTGGGTTTAGCCTCGGGGGCACATTTTGAGCCATAATGGCACCCAAAGTGGCATAGCCCCACCATTTTAGAGTGATGTCATCACTGCACCCATAAGAGGTGTTAGCTGAATAGGAATCAAGAGGTGGTATCTGGTTTAAGAATGTTAACTACAGGGCAACTATGCAAAAAGTAAAGCCCACTGATGAGGGGTAAGGATTGCTGCAGATGAAAAACAATGAACCTTTTAATTATTCAGACTTACCCAAACACATCCCATTTATCAGCCATCTCCTTGCTCTTAGAATCCTTCAAGAGAAGTTGATATAAAAAACCAATTGCTGCATGCCCAACCTGTGCTGCAACCTGAGAGTGAGAGAGAGTGTCTGGATTAAACCACAGTAAGGCTCAGTTCCACAGCCAAAAGATCTGTACAGCTGACGTTTAACACGACCTATATCCCTCATCTATCAGTGTCTGTCCAGAGCCAACAATCAACTTCTCTGAAGAAGAAAAAAAAAAAAAGACAGCTGCATCTATCAGTCCCGGCGGTGGATGAAATGGAGGTGCACAGTTCCTGAACCATGTGTGAAATCCTAAACACAAGGTATCAAAACACATCTGTGCCGAGAGTCACTTTGGGTGGGGGGCCCATGGAACCCAGCTCACTTTGGAGAGGTGGGGAAACCCGTCTCAGCTCCCCATATCCCTCTTATGTGTAAGTCACCCTGTGCCTGTTAGGGGTACAGGGTGATCTGTCCTAATATTGGTGTGGGGGGTTGTTGATTGTTTAATGCCATGTGGTTGCATCCCAATGTTCTATTGTGTGTCTTGCTTGGGAGCAAACTATTATGGGATGCATATGTTTATGTGTATTGGCTTGGTGGGGGGGGGGGTCTCCAGCAGCCCTCCCTCCTGAAGGGACTGTCTGTTGGTGTGTCTCGTTACTAAATGTAGATTGCCCCGCCCTGTGTCATTATGGAGGGAGGGGGGATTGTCCCCTGAGTGTATATATCTTGTATCTGTGTTAAAATAAACTAGTCTACCTTCTGGATTACTTCAAGATTGGTGTCGTCTAGTCTTGTATAGTCAGCTGTGGTTTCTGTTGTCGGTGTTCGGACGGGGAAGCGGTATTCTAACAGAAGTACCCAAGTGCAGTCGGGGTCGGTACCGTTACAACATCCATCACCACACAGCAAACCAGACTCAAATTTGTTGAAGCATCTGCTACACACTGGTATTACTGCTTGGCGTCAGTAACGTGAACTACTAGGGTGATTCCGCCTCTATACAGAAGATGCCCAGCAAACCTTTACCTGTGTAAGACAAGTATACTACACTCTCTGATCTCCGCAACATTACTGTGTTCTATAGCAATGTGGAGGTCAGCAGGAGGAACCAGTGAGTTGTGGAGGCCCCAGCAGATGGACACTTCCAGAAGTCTTGGTTCCTCAATGTCTGATGGAAACAGGAATGAAATTCGGCAGCACATGCAGAAGACGAGATACATTTTCCACTCTTCTTTCACAGGTATAGATGTGATGGGCAACTTTTGCACAGCAACAGGGGAACAACAGGCAACTTTGGAAAGTACCCTAGATCTGATTGCCACCTCAGGTCAGCCAACATCCAGGGCCACAACTACTTCCTAGATAGACATGATGGTTCAGGGATGACAGTCATGAAAGTCCTGGTGCCCATGCATTTCTTGGCTGCTTTAAAGAGACTGTTACCTTTCCCATTCATGCCTATATAGAGAAATCTCACCAAAACTCACTTTATAAGTGCTTCCTCACCTCTCCTATGCTGCAGCCCATGACAATACTTGGCGCTTCTGGTATGGAGAAGCATGTAACAACTTCTCCATGATAGTGCTCAGGTCTTGCAGCCAATTGCTAGGCCCTGACTTAGAACTGATGTCACCATCCCCCCTAGTACCTGAAACTAGCCAGAACTAGGAATTTTAGTGCCCCAACAGTGACAGAGGCAAGTGTGTCAGGAGAGCACTGGCAAGGCAAGCATCAGTGGATCGGGAAGGGGGGAGCTTTACAAAGAAACCTGAATTGGCCATTAGTCTCTAACAAAATTGTCCAATACAAATCAGCTCCCTGCTGAAGCCTCTCACCTTGTGACTTAAAACTTCAAAAGTTGGGGCATAGCAGCTTGCTTTAAGGCCTATTGTCCTTCTCCACACGGTTACCATAGGATGTCAAGTATGTTTGCATGTTGTGCTACTATTATTTCAATGGCACCCTAGTAGACTGAGGATTTGCTTTCTCCAGCAGGCTGACTCTCTGGGAGACTTTGTAATGATAAAAGACAGAGCTTTTTGAATAATACCAATAATGACTTTGCTGTAGATGTCATAAGAGGAATTTATTCCAATGGACTTGTAAAGCTCAGAGGTCTTCCAGAGCAAACCATTTTTCCCCTGAAGTATGCTTTCAATGCAACATATATATTTATTTCAGGTACTTATATAGCGCCGTCAGTTTATGCAGCACTTTACATATATATTGTACATTTACATCAGTCCCTAACCCTCAAGGGTGTGTGTGTGTATATATATATATATATATATATATATATATATATATATACAGTCATGGCCGAAATTGTTGGCACCCTTGATATTTTTCCTGAAAAATCAAGTATTTCACACAAAAAAGGTATTGCATTAACACATGTTTTGCTATACACATGTTTATTCCCTTTGTATGTATTGGAACAAATATAAAACAGAGGCAGAAAAAAAGCAAATATGACATAATGTCACACAAAACCCCAAAAATGGGCTGGACAAAAGTATTGGCACCCTTAACTTAATATTTGGTTGCACACCCTTTGGAAAACATAACTGAAATCAGTCGCTTCCTATAACCATCAATAAGCTTCTGACACCTCTCACCCGGAATTTTGGACCACTCTTCCTTTGCAAACAGCTCCAGGTCTCTTATTGGAAGGACACCTTTTCCCAACAGCAATTTTAAGATCTCTCCACAGGTGTTCAATGGGATTTAGATCTGGGCTCATTGCTGGCCACTTCAGAACTCTCCAGCGCTTCTTTGCCATCCATTTCTGAGTGCTTTTTGACGTATGTTTTTGGGGTCATTGTCCTGCTGGAAGACCCAGGATCTTGGACGCAAACCCAGCTTTCTGACACTGGGCCCTACAGTGCGACCCAAAATCCTTTGGGTAATCCTCAGATTTCATGATGCCTTGCACACAGTCAAGGCACCCAGTGCCAGAGGCAGCAAAACAACCCCAAAACATCATTGAACCTCCACCATATTTTACCGTAGGTACTGTGTTTTGTTCTTTGTAGGCCTCATTCCGTTTTCGGGTAAACAGTAGAATGATGTGCTTTACCGAAAAGCTCTATCTTGGTCTCATCTGTCCACAAGACGTTTTCCCAGAAGGCTTTTGGCTTACTCAAGTACATTTTGGCAAACTGTAGTCTTGCTTTTTTATGTCTCTGTGTCAGCAGTGGGGTCCTCCTGGGTCTCCTGCCATAGCGTTTCATTTCATTTAAATGTCGACGGATAGTTCGCGCTGACACTGATGCTCCCTGAGCCTGCAGGACAGCTTGAATGTCTTTGGAACATGTTTGGGGCTGCTTATCCACCATCCGGACTATTCTGCGTTGCAATCTTTCATCAATTTTCCTCATCCGTCCACGACCAGGGAGATTAGCTACAGTGCCATGGGTTGCAAACTTCTTGATAATGTTGCGCACTGTGGACAAAGGCAAATCTAGTTCTCTGGAGATGGACTTGTAACCTTGAGATTGTTGATATTTTGCCACAATTTTGGTTCTCAGGTCCTCAGACAGTTCTCGTCTCCTCTTTCTGTTGTCCATGCTTAGTGTGGCACAGACAGACACACAATGCAAAGGTTAAGTGAACGTCTCTCCTTTTTATCTGCTTTCAGGTGTGATTTCTATATTGCCCACACCTGTTACTTGCCCCAGGTGAGTTTACAGGAGCATCACATGCTTGTAACATTCTTATTTATCCGCAGTTGTGAAAGGGTGCCAATACTTTTGTCCAGCCCATTTTTGGAGGTTTGTGTGACATTATGTCGAATTTGCTTTCTTTCCTCCCTTTTTTTGTTTTGTCCCAATACACACAAAGGGAATAAACATGTGTATAGCAAAACATGTGTTAATGCAATACGTTTCGTGAGAAATACATGATTTCCTGGAGAAATATCAAGGGTGCCAACAATTTCGGCCATGACTGTATATATATACACACATATACACATATACATACACACACACACACACACACACACACACCTTAGATTGTACACCCCTTGAGGGTTAGGGACTGATGTGAATGTACAAAATATATGTAAAGCGCTGCATAAATTGATGGCGCTATAGAAGTACCTGTAATATATATATATATATATCCACTCTTTTATCCACAATCCCTAGCTCTAATGCAAGAAAACAAAAATTAAATCCGACAGTTTTTTTTTTGGTTCAATAAGGAAAATAAACCTACCTTCCCTACCCCCATAGGAAGCTCCATGTTCACCACAAAGACCATTTTGTAATACATTTCATCTTCATCTGCATACTGGAAAAGAGATGTAAGAACGGTCATGCTACAAGTAAACATCATAGCTGCTTTTACTCCTCTGTGGCTACTAGTGTAAGACCACTGCACTGACCTTTTCTGTCCGATAGATTTACTTGTTCAGTACCAGTTTTTGTAAGAGATATTCCTTCCTCGGCGCATGTGGCCAAATTGTACCTAAATACATCAGCACACAGCTGTAACCCTGAAGGACAAAGCAGGGGCTGCCTTAGATTCTAGCTCCAGCACTTTACAGATATCTTCCAGCAAGGGCAGAGCAATGCTTCCTTTTGCCTAGTTTCCATTCTCGGTGGAGCGGGGATTATTTAAAAATAAATGTGATAATGTGATCAACATCTATTATATCGCGCTATTTGCAACTTAAATGTGTAGGAGCCACTACTATTTATAAACCAAAAACCTTTTTGAAATAAAAAACACCAAATGAATAAAAAGTGTTAAAAGTGGCGCTAAGTAAATACAAGTACAAAACCAGATGATTTTTTTATTATATGATTTTGTATTTATATTTACTTAGCGCCACTTTCAATCCTTTAATGAAATAAAAAACACCAAATGAATAAAGTGTTAAAAGTGGCGCTACGTAAATATAAATACAAAACCATATAATAAAAAAATAAAAATCATATGGTTTGTACTTAGCGCCACTTTTAACACTTTTTATTCATTTGGTGTTTTTTATTTCATAAAAGTAATTAAAGTGTGTGTTCCCCAATGAACGTTCAGAAAAAATGCCTGTCTGGGGTTGTTCTACATACAGACTGTGTACGCAATGAAAATTTACTATTATAAATTAGACAGTAGTTTTAGGACAATATCAGATAGTCATTTCTGCCACTGGCATTAAAAAAAAAAAAAAATTCACTAAGAGGCTGCCTATGGAACCACTGGACCATCAGAATGCTGCTGAACCTCAGCTGCTAGCACTGGGAGGAACATCTTGCTGTCTCTGCTAGTAAAGGAGAAATTCCATAGGTACAAACAGGCAGCCTTTTATTATCCTGCTATTACGACCAATCGCCTGTCTGGCATCAACCTAAGTCTGTTACAAATACCCATTTCTGAGTGATTCTACACTGTTCATTCTTTATCAACACCACCTTACTTATTTCTACAATTTACACAAGTATTCCCACATGTTAGAAAGAAAAAAGGTGAATTTAAATTACCAGATTGTGGTTTTCTAAGCTTTCAAAGTAAAACATGGCAGCCTCCTCAGCAGAGATGTTCCCGGTGAGAATGAGAGCCTAAATAAAGAACAATATTGTTTATCCAACCAACAGAAGATCAGGACACCCATAAGATATCTCTAGTTGAACACACACACACACACACACACACACACACACACACACACACTAGTGAGATTCTTTTGCTTGTTTATAAAGGCTACCCATGAGGGTAGATTCTGAAACTTGTCATTGAATTCCTTACTCAATCCCCTACACAGCAGAGATACTGTTAAAGCCTAAATTCAGTCTCAAATGAAAAAAAAAAAAAAAAAATCCGCACAAAAGACAAGACTTAGGCCCCATGTACACGGGACACTTCTGAACGATGGAAACGGACTGCTGTAAAAATGTAGGTAAAAAATGTCTGTTTAGCCGCGTTTGCATAACAAGTTTATGTGCGTTTAGCAGCGTTTTTTTGAAGATAAGCACAGGAGAAACTCCCAAATGCCCAGAATGCACTGAAAAGTGGTAAATTATTAACTTTTTCAGACTGTTTCAGAGAAATACAGAGAGTAGAAGCAGAGACAGCAGTATGTGTTGAGATTATCTTAGGTGTGAGTTGCTCATTAACATTTCTTTTGTTTCCAAGGGTGAGAAAGGTGTCTGGTGGAGGAGTCATTAAGGTCACCTGGCAGAGGGTCTTCATGAGGAAGTTGAGGTGTGAACGTCCATTAACATTTCTTTTGTTTCCAAGGGTGGGGGAGGTCTGAGCTGTTAAAGTCCATTAACATATCTTTGTTTCCAAGGGTGGGAGAGGTCTGAGGTGTGAATTGGTCATTACAATGTGTGACAAGCTTGGTAGAAACATTTCAGACACAAACGCTTATAAACGTGATTTGCCGCGTTTTGCGTTTGAAACGCTGATAAAATCTACATCTGAACGCAAGTTTTCTGCGTCAAAAAAAACAATTGTAAAACTCAACTGCCTGTAAATGACGATGTGTACATGGACACATAGGAACACATTAGGGAGAGTTCAGGGGCTGCTGAAAAAAAAAAAACGCTGAATAGCTCCTAAACGTGAGTTTATCAGCTGCAGTGTACATGAGCCATTAAAGCCTAACCCCGAAGATGACAGGGGTGGGGATAGGGGGAAGGAAAAATAATGGATGATCTCAACTAATGGAGGAGCCAGCAGAACAAAGGACACATCCTACAGCGAAGTCTGTTGCAGATTGTGCAAGTATATCCTGGACAGAGGATCTGTTCTGCTTTTAAGTGGGTGGCATGAACACCTTCCCACCTGGCCTATAGCAGATTGATGGCCTCTTGCCATTGTGACTGCGCGTCATAGGACGTCCTGTCAAAACGAGCCGCTGCCGTGGCCACGTAGCAGCGATCTGTCACCGGCTGTGTCCACGGGACACAGCCGATGACATATCACTACACCGGCCTGTTGCCAGTGTCATGTGACCAATCACAGCAGATCACGTCAGTTGTATACAATGGATGGCTTCCATTCATGCCATCCATTGTATACAATTTTGTTGTTAGCTGTGACTGGTCAATGCAGTCACATGATACAGACAGGGCCAATCACAGCCCATCTGTATCATGTGATCAGCTTTGCCCAATCACAGCTAATCACAACAAAAGACTGAATGAATCAGTTTTATTCAGTAACAATGATTGCAAATATCAATGAAATTCATTGGTATTAGCAATCATAATGTGTAAAAAAAAAAAAAAAAAAAAAAAATCCTGATCACTTGCCCAGAGTAGTTCAATGTTACTATGGTAACATTGTACCGCTTTGGTCACAGTTTACTGAAAAATAATAATAGTAAAAAAAAGAAAAAAAATGTAATAAAAAACAAAATAAATAGAAACATTTGAAAACAAAATACAAATTCAATAATTATTATTATTTTCACCAAAGAAATGTAGCAGAATACATTTTGACCTAAATTTATGAAGAAATGTTATTTGTCAAATTTTATAAAAGAAACGAAGAAAAGTGCATTTTTTTCAAAAGTTTCAGGTGTTTTTTGTTTTTATTTAGCAAAAAATAAAAAAACTCAGTTGTGATTAAATACCACCAAAAGAAAGCTCTATTTGTGTGAAAAAAATGATTTAAATTTACATATGGGTAGTGTTGCATGACCGCGCAATTGTCATTCCAAAGTGCAACAGAGCTGAAAGCTGCAAATTGGCCTGGGCAGGAAGGGGGTATAAGTGCCCGATATTGTAGTGGTTAAGTGAACCTGTCACCCACCATATCCTAGCAATTTACTGTATCTTCCCAACTGCAGGCATTAAAATGCATTTTTACATGGGGGTGCACTACATCCCTATGGAGGCCCCCCCAGACATAGGAACAGTCAGTACGCAGATTTGGACATCTACAAGTCAGAGCTCCTGGCAAGCACAAAAATGTAAAATGTTGACCGCACAACATACACTTCTGTAGGTATCACTGAGCATGTCAAGAGTGAGAGGCAGAAATCTGGGCCCAATATTTGCAGTTACCTCCAAACAGGATTCTGTAAGGTCTGTTCCCTTAATGAAGGGATTGCTTCGAGGTAAAAAACCCCAAGGCTTTGGAAACACTTTTAAGAAAGAAAAAAAAAAAAGAATCAGCCAGCGATGTGAGATGTTACCTTCTTCGCCTCTTCTTCCGGAATATCGAGATCTTTCAGCTGTTTCAGATATTCTGGATTGACCTCCATTGCCTCCTGGGGAGCCTCAGGCACGGCCTCTTCATGAGCCTCCATTACACTACGAGAAAGAAAGCAATATGTCAGGACCTGTACACCCATGTATACACGCCCCCCCCCCCCCCCCCCCCCACCCCCGGAGCTGACACACCCATGTATACACGGCCCCCCCCCCCCCGGAGCTGACACACCCATGTATACACGCCCCCCCCCCCGAGCTGACACACCCATGTACACACGGCCCCCCCGGAGCTGACACACCCATGTATACGGTCGGTCCCCCCCCCCCCCCCCGGAGCTGACACACCCATGTATACACGGCCCCCCCCCCCCCCGGAGCTGACGCACCCATGTACACACGGACCCCCCGGAGCTGACGCACCCATGTACACACGGACCCCCCGGGGCTGACGCACCCATGTACACACGGACCCCCCGGGGCTGACGCACCCATGTACACACGGACCCCCCGGGGCTGACGCACCCATGTACACACGGACCCCCCGGGGCTGACGCACCCATGTACACACGGCCCCCCCGGAGCTGACGCACCCATGTACACACGGCCCCCCCCGGAGCTGACGCACACCATGTACACACGGCCCCCCCGGAGCTGACGCACCCATGTACACACGGCCCCCCCGGAGCTGACGCACCCATGTACACACGGCCCCCCCGGAGCTGACGCACCCATGTACACACAGACCCCCCGGAGCTGACGCACCCATGTACACACGGACCCCCCGGAGCTGACGCACCCATGTATACACGGACCCCGGAGCTGACACACCCATGTATACACAGCCCCCCGAGCTGACACACCCATGTATACACGGACCCCGGAGCTGACGCACCCATGTATACACGGACCCCCCGGAGCTGACGCACCCATGTATACACAGCCCCCCCCCGGAGCTGACGCACCCATGTATACATGGACCCCGGAGCTGACACACTTGTTACATGGCCTGCCTATGGTCTTCCAGATGATGGCTACCACGGGACATCCCCGGCCCTTCAACTGCTAGCAGAATACCTACCCGGTGGGTGTGATCACTGTGTCTGCAGCATGCACACACTACACTGTGATGTCAGATCATTGCAAGCAGGGACGGCCCCCCCCGCTTCTGACACAACAAAGTTGTCTGCGTGTAACCACAGCTTAGTGCTAGAGCGCCCCCCTGTGGGAGTGTAGGACTAAGTCTGCACTGGACTGTATACAGGGACCACATTAGTATGAATTATTCCCCCTATGCCTGCCACTATAAAGCCACACCCCCTAAGAAGCTGGGATGCCCCCACGCACCCCAGGATGTCCCCCCCACACCCCAGTGACACCACAGGATGCCACCCCCGCAACCCAGTGACACCACAGGATGCCACCCCCGCAACACCACGGGATGTCCCTCCACACCCCTGTGACACCACAGAATGCACCCACCACAGGATACTCCCCACGACACAAGATGTGCCTCCTGCACCCCCACAGGATACCCCCTGCCGCACCTCAGTGAGACCACAGAATACACCCTACACCACCACAGGATACCACCCACACCTCAGTGACACCACAGGTTACTCCCCCCCACACACCTCAGTGACACCACAGGATACCCCTCCACACCCCCGTGACACCACAGGATACCCCTCCACACCCCCGTGACACCACAGGATACCCCTCCACACCCCCGTGACACCACAGGATACCCCTCCACACCCCCGTGACACCACAGGTTACTCCCCCCACACACACACCTCAGTGACACCACAGGATACCCCTCCACACCCCCGCGACACCACAGGATACCCCTCCACACCCCCGTGACACCACAGGATACCCCTCCACACCCCCGTGACACCACAGGATACCCCTCCACACCCCCGTGACACCACAGGATACCCCTCCACACCCCCGTGACACCACAGGTTACCCCCCCCACACACCTCAGTGACACCACAGGATACCCCTCCACACCCCCGTGACACCACAGGATACCCCTCCACACCCCCGTGACACCACAGATTACACAGGATGCCCCTCACACCTTAGTGACTCCACAGGATACCTCTCCGCACCCCCGTGACACCACAGGTTACCCCTACCAACACCTCAGTGACACCACAGGATACCCCTCCAAACCCCCTGTGACACCACAAAATACCCTTCTGCACCCAACTGACACCACAGCCCCCTCCCCCATGATATTTCAATACATTTTCCCTCCGTGACACCTCAGGATATCCCTCCACACCTACTGACAACACAGGATCGTGCCTGACACAACCCCCCCACCCCCAATGACACCAAATGACTCCCCTTTGCACCCCCCGACACCACAGGGTATGATTCCCCGGCCCAGATCGTCTCCCATACCCCGATGTGTGCGGCGCCCCCTCTTCCTCCTCCCGGGTGACAGAACAGCCGCCTCTGCCAGCACAGCCCCCGGAATTCTCCCGTGCACGCGCTCTCCGATAATCTGGGTAGCCGAGAGCGCGCTCACAGACGGAGGAGAGCTGGGATCATGTGACCGGATAGCGATAGAGGTTTCCGGCCTGTACAGGAAAAGCGGAGCTGTGTGATCGGCGCCCTCTGGCGGCGGGAGGTGTTAGAGCGTCAGCTCAGAAGTTACCCGCTGCTTGCGCTATGAGAGCGAACTCCGAATATTTCTTGTCCTGCCCGAAGTCCCGGATGTTCGGCGATGTGCGGGAGAGCCGACCTGCCGGTGTAGCGGCAAGATGAATATCCCATGAAAATCAGTGTCCCCCTGAAGCAACTGCGCATGTGCCGGTATAAGGCACTACAAGCCGATCACCGAACTACTGCAGCCGAACATGTACCTGAGCTGAATTAACCCTTTACATGCCGACTGGGTCTGCGGTGAGACACAGGATCGGAGAACACAGAATTATTAACCCCTTACATGCCGAGTGGTCGGCGGGGGCTGTTACATGCCAAATTGTCTGCAGTGACATCGGACAGCACAGTGTCAGTGATATGGGGGGGGGGGGGGCAGTGTCAGCATAATCATACACTGGAATAGGGAAATCACAGATTGGATTCAGGGAAATCATACACTAGAATCATGGAAATCACAGACTGGAATCGGCAATCATGCACTAGATTCATCAAAATCACGCACTGGAATCAGGGAAATCACAGATTGGAATCAGCAAAACCATGCCCTGGAACCAGGGAAATCACACACTGGAATGAGAAAATTCATGTACTGGAATCAGGGAAATCACGCACTAGATTTAGCAAAATCACGCATTGGAATCGGGGAAATCAGGCACTGTAATCAGTAAATTGATGCACTGGAATATTCATGCACTGGAATCAGCAAATTCATGCACTGGAATCAGCAGAATCACATACTGGAATCAATGAGTTCACGCACTGGAATCAGCAAAATCACACACTGGAATCAGCAAAATTACACACTGGAATCAGCAAAATTACACACTGGAATCAGCAAAATCACACACTGGAATCAGCAAAATCACACACTGGAATCAGCAAAATCACACACTGGAATCAGCAAAATCATGCACTGGAATCAGTATTTCACACAATGAAAAAAGTGAAATCACGCACTGAAATAAGTGAAATCATGAAATGAAATCATCAATGTGACAGAAGTGTGGGTGGAGCAGAACACACGTGGAGAACAGAAGTACACGCAAGGCTTTTATTGAAAGGTAGGGAGTTCTAGCAAGGCGAAGGGTTAAATCTGTACACAGGGCTGAATACACCACACGGATGGCAGGAGTCCGGTGGACAAATGGCTAAGTCTGGAACACAGACTGGGCACACATCAGGAATAGCAAAACTCCGACAGACAAAGGGGGAAATCCACAACACAGGACTGACAACAATAGTGGCCTCAGCAGAGGAAGTCTATGCTGATCAGCATGGAGAAGGAGGTCCAGAGGGCTGAGGTCCTTCACCAACTCATCACAGGTCCTCGGAGGGCTGTGTGTCCTGGCCGCAGCTTCAGGACTACATAGGCAAAAGTTGACGGAAGGGTAGAGGAAAGTCCCAGTGTCCGGAAACCCACACAGACAATGCAGAACTACAAATCACAGCAGTGCAGAAAGCAAAGCACAGCCCATAAAGAATTATCTGTCTCAGCAGTTCTAGGGAGACCTGCAGCCATGAGCTCCTCTGTCCATCGCTGAATTAAGCTCTGGACGTTCTGACCCTTTCTGCCAGCATAGGGACATTATATTGTCCCTTCAGTTCAACCAAACCTCAAGCACCTGGTGCTGACACGTCTGGCATTTTCCAGCTGCAGGACACCATGCTGTCTGTGCCTCCCGCTGAGATCAACCTCATCTCCCACCCCCTTTGGGGCACAGGAACTCATAGATTTAAATAAGCAGACAAGCTGACTGATTGACACACTCTTGATTTCATCAAAACAACACAAAATTTAAATAATATTTCTGACCTTCGTCACAATGAAGATCATGCACTGGAAGCAGTGAAATCATATAGTGAAATCATGCTCTGAAATCAGTGAACTAATGCAATGAAATCCGGATGCAGTGTGAAATCATGCACTGGAATCAGCGAATTCACACACTGCAATCAGCAAAATCACGTACTGGAATCAGGGAAATCATGCTCTAGTACTCACTTCTCTCGCACCCTCTCTCTTCTCTCTTGTACCTTCTCTCTCACTTGCTCTCTCTTGTACCTTCTCTCTCACTTGCTCTCTCTTGTACCTTCTCTCTCACTTGCTCTCTCTTTCCCTTCTCTCTCACACCCTCTCTCTTCTACCTCGCTTGCTCACGCTCTCTCTCTCTCTCTCTCTCATATCAGTCTCCTCTCTCACACTTTTCTCATTATCTCGTATACCTCCCTTTCTTTCTGCTCTCTCACTTGCTTTCACTTCTCTCTGGCTTTCTCTCTTCTCTCTCGCACCCTCTACCTTCTCCTTCACTTGCTCTCTCTTCTCTCTCACTCTCTCTTCTCTCCCACACCCTCTTTCTCTCTCTCTTCTCTCTCTCACCCTCTCTCGCTCTCTCCCCTCTTTCTTCTCTCTGACCCCCTCTCTTCTCTCTCGCTGTCTCGCTCTCCTCTCTCTCTCTTTCTCTTCTCTATTGCACCCTCTCTCTTCTCTCTCGCTCTCTCTATTCTCTCTAGATTGGACATGCAGACCTGAAACCAGCAGGATAGGTACACAGGCAGGGCACCCTGGGAAATGACGCAGGGTCACCTGAGGTGCGGGGTCTAAGCATTAACCGGTTTTCACCAGAGCTCCTGATGGTGAAGATGGATTTGGCTGTGTGTTGGTACCAGGTCACAGATCTCAGGATCACCCCACCAGGGAATGAGCAAGCCGGAATCCAATAGCAGATAGAACAGGTTAGGGGTCAAGCAGAAGAGGAGTCAGTCAACAAGCCAAGGGTCGGTCACAAACGGTAGTAGATGAGGATGAGGCAGAATTGTTGTCCAGGAACAAGCCAAAGGTCGGTAGCGAAGGTATAGATAGCAGCAGGAGAGACAAGCGGGATATTGGCTGGGAAGGCAACCAGGGAATGCAGAGACATGGCTTTTATCAGGAAGTTCATGGGAGGAGCAAGGAGTTCAAGGTTCAACAGAAAACAAGGCAGGATTGTCCAATAGATCAGGCAGAGTGTTGTCCAGCATCCCAGGTAGCTCGGTGAGAAGAGTTAGTGCCTGACACAGTAGAAGTCCCAGGTTCAATCCAGGCCCTGACATTACTAGACCATCGCACTCATGGGAAGGAGGTTTGTTGTACTGGATTACTGCAAAACATGGTCTGTAAGGTGGCATTAGTGTTAAAATTGCTGAGGCCAAATAAAATATCAGCTGCAATGTTGGTAAATCAGACCTTGCTCAGCTATGGAGCTACTGCAGTGATACCCCTAATCTTCTGAGTATTTTTTTCAATAAAAGCAAGGCATCCTCTTTACCTTGTCCATTCAGAAAACGCCTTGTATTCCTTGAAAAAAAAAAAATTAATTGCATTCTCTAAATGGCAGCAGTGCCAAGCAAATGACCCCCTGTGGTCCATGTGGAGAGGGAAAGCTGCTCAGCACAGTGCCTGGAAGATTTTGGCAATCACAGTAGTGGCGAATATTATAGTGATTGTCAGCTTCCACAGGTCTCAGGTATGAGATGCTGCATGCATACTTATCCACTTAACCTCCCTAGCGGTCTGATTATGTCCATATTTCTGTGCTCAAAGTGGTACATTTTTTGCATGGAAATATGCATTTTTTTTATTTTAGGCCTGTAATTTTTAGGAATAACTCACTGAAATCTGTCCGAACAAGAGTCTAGTAAACATTCCGGGTATGATAAAATATGAAACACAAAATCATAAATTGTAATTTAATAAATAATCCTAAAAAATAATATAATAATAAATTTAATTCAATAATATAATCAAACCAAAAAAACTGAAATATAGCACCAAGTTCGCACATTGCTGAGCAAAGTCGCAAAATCGGTTTCAGTGTCTGATGATGAATTTCCCCCACGAATCATTATCACTCAATTCTGCAAGTGGTTCTGATTTACTATCGCTGTTCTCTAGCCGGTCTAAAACCGCTTTTGACCTAAAGGGACGCTTTTTGGACGCCATGGACATTTCTCAGTTTCCAGGCAGAAAGAACAGTAAAAATGCAGGCAGGGTGCCGGACAATGCACTCGGGACAAAATGTATGTGAAATGGTTTGATACAGGAATGTTATACTATGTGATTTTAGTGAATGTCACTTTTACAAGTTTCAAATTTCCCATCCCCCGTACGTCCCGAAGCTCGCAGGGAATGGAACCTGGAAGACAGATGCCATCCGAGGACATTGCCGGGGACACTGCAGGGGGGACATCGCGGGAGCGCAGGACAAGGTAAATGAAGAAGGGATCCGGGAGCATTGCTGCAGGGTATTCCCGAGTGTAGCTTGGGGTTACCGCTTGTGGTACTGAAACTTTACCCCGAGCTACACTCGGGAATACCGCCAGGGGGGTTAATGACCGCCATGTACTGCATACAGGCAAAGTATCATACTGGTGCGTCACTCTGACTATACTAACACGGGGGGGCACTGCTTGGACACAGTGAAATGCGGATCCCGGTAAACGGGACTCGGTTGTCATGTGAATGCTATGCGATCACATGATCACAATGTCAGCAAAGCTGTTATGGATCAATCTGATCCATAACAGCTTTGCTTCCCTTCTTAGTGAGCTGTGATTGGCCCACAGCTCTCACGTGGTACATGAGCCAATCACAGATCCCTGTACTCTGTGATCAACTGTAGCCAAATCACAGATCACTACTTTTTTGAACTGTCATGAACTTAACCCATTCTTGACAGCTCAAAGCAAGCATTGCATTGTGGGAGCAATAATCTTTATTGCTCCTGCAAAGCAAAGTGTAAAACAAAAATCCTTGATCCTCCCCCAGAGTAGTACAATGTTACTATAGTAACATTGAACTACTCTGATGAAAGTATTTAAAAAAAAAAAAAAAAATGTAAAAAAAAATTAAATATTGAGAATTTTTTTTTTTTTTTTAAAAACTACTACCGCTGAATCACTTTTAAAAAGCAGTGGAAAGGGACATCCCCCGCCACCTTCCACAACTTTCTCAGCCTTTTCTGTCCCACTGGGGAACCGGAGAATGCAGCCAGCAGTTCCACTGGCTGACCATAGAGCTGATCGGAGACCGGAATGCCTCCAATCATCTCTGTGGTCTGAGAATCGAGAAGCAACAAGCATTTCATCATTTCAGTTTCGCCATTTAAAAATTGAGAAAGCATCTGACCACACCAATCTTGGTGTGATCAGATGCGTTAGGACAGAGGAGAGATCTAGAGTCTAATAGACACCAGATTTCTCAGAAAAGAGTGTCACTGCCTATTGATATCACATGGGATATTTACATTCATTCTCTGTGATAACAATAAAAGTGATAAAAAAAAGAAAGGGACAGTGTAAAAAAAAAAAAAAAAAAAAGCAAAAAATAATTAATAAAAAAAAACTCATGACATGAGGAAATATTCCCTTTGAAAGCCTGAAGATGGTCATTGGTTTTTGGGGGCCTTAAATCATTTAAGTAACAACGTAGGGGGAAAAAATGTTTTGTCATTTTCCAAAAAATTCTGGCAAAAAATAACATCTTCCATGGACTCAGCATGCCTCTCAGCAAAATCCTTGGTCTGGCTACTTTCCAAAAAGTGGTCATTTGGGGGTTTTTTGTACTGCCCTGACATTTTAGCACCTCAAGAAATGTGATAGGCAGTCAGAAAATAAAAGCTGCATAAATTCCAATAAACTGCATATATATCAATAGAATGAACCAGTCATTACCAAGAAACACACCAGGGGCTTGTTGAATATTTAATCAAATTATACAAAGTACAAAAATAAAAACATTAAAGAACATGGCCAAGTATCAGCATTGTAACCAAGGGTGCTGAAGACATTTCTCCGCCGTGGCTCGCTTTTCTGGAGAATAATCCAACATGGGTAGGATGAAGCTTGCAAATATGAGGGCCTCGTTCATCTGCCACTTGTGCCGGCAAACCAGAGTGTCATAGAGGCCGCAGGGGTATAGGTACGGGATACGGAGGAGGTAACCTGCCAAGGAAGATATTCATATAAAGATAAATGAGCAAGAAAAAAACCCCCAATATCTATCTATCCATCTATCTCTACATATACGTATATTGGTTATATACTGGTAGAATATATATATACTCTATATTAGTTGTGCACTGAAATGAAAGATCTGGGCCAAAACCGAAAATTCGGGATGCACTTGGCTGAAAACTGAAACCTAAATTGGTAGAGTTTTTTTTTTTTAATATATTTTTTATATATAATTGTATTAAATTCGACTTTTTAATGAATATCATGAATTTAAATGAATACGAATTTATAAAATACAATCCAGTAGCGTAAAATAACTTTTATTGAAAGTAACACACAAAAATTGGACATACTAATCTGGTTGCGTTCCACCTAGACCGGAAGTTTGTATATATATATATATGTATATATATATATATATATATATATATATATATAATTTTTAATAAACAGTTTTTAACAAAAAAAAAATATTAGCGTGAAAAAGTTTTTTGCTAATGTTGAATTCATAATTTTTTTTCCGTATTTTTAATTATATTTTTTAGCCACAAGATAGCACCATATGTGGAGACAACAGTCTAATGGGAAGCCATTTCGGCCATTATCTGCACCTTTTTTTGTTCTATCGGCAAAACGCCAACAAACCCTATTTTCGACTGATATATTGATGCATCCCTACTATATATAGTGTGCATGTGTGTATGTATATATATATATTGCACAAATGTTATTTTGTTGTGTAATGTACCAATTAAAATAGATCGTGGTGAGAATATGAGGTTGACTTTGCTGCCACCTCCTCCCCATAAAAGCTGCCAATTATAGCCTTTTGAGAAAAGAAAATATTCTTATCTAATACCTGATTTCTGCCCACTTCCTGGAGGTGCCGGTGACCTTACACTGCCCCACCATTGGGTGGGTGTTCAAAATCCCATGAGAATGCACCTCAGCCCATTGCAGGGGTTCTGCTTTAGTGGGTTTTAAAATATATATGCCTAGGCTTTACTTAAACTTACCCCCTAACTCCCCCTTCCCCTCTGGAGCATTTTGCATTACTTGTTTGTATTATTTGTTCCTGTAAACGGCTTTTATTACTCTCTGTGATGTCATCACCAGGCTTGCAAAAATTTTGCAGAGGCAATTGCTGGGAACTCATTTCCAATTTACAAAGGCACACCCCCAGAACTATATCCCCCAAGATCCCTTTCCTTACACAGTGGGCCTGATAAACGTTTCAGGCATATTTGTGTGCACAAACATACGCACCGTGCCTTTAATAAACTGGTCCCTTAGGGCATATTAGTAGGCACATATTGCACACTGACAGTGCTGTCACTATGCAGGAAGCTTTACATTATTAAAACAGCTTACCGTGATCATTCTCAGTGATCACTAGGGGCAGGCAGAAGTGCAGGCAGCAGCACAGAGCTGTCCACTGCCCGCTCTCTGGTGAGTGTCCATTGGGACAATTATCAGAGGATACCTGCCAGCTGTCTGTTGCCCTCTGCACAGCTAGGCATTGGGAGGAGGCAGCTGCTCCCGGCCCAGGATCCCTCTGGTAACTGTCTATACCCGGGGTCTCCAAACTTTAGAAACAAAGGGCCAGTTTACTGCCCTTCAAACTTTAGGGGGGACCAGATTGTGGCCAGTGGGAGTAGAAAATACCCTAGGGCTTGGTGGTCAGTGGGAGGAACAGTGCCCCATCTTTGGTGCCAGTGGGGTAATCAGTTCCCCTTTTCTGGTATCAGTGGGAGGAACAGTGCCCCGTCGCTGGTGTCAGTGGGAGGAACAGTGCCTCGTCGCTGGTGTCAGTGGGAGGAACAGTGCCCCATGACTGATGTCAGTGGGAGGAACAGTGCCCTGTCGCTGGTGTCAGTGGGAGGAACAGTGCCCCATCGCTGGTGTCAGTGGGAGGAACAGTGCCCTGTCAGTGGGAGGAACAGTGTCCCATGACTGGTGTCAGTGGGAGGAACAGTGCCCTGTTGCTGGTGTCAGTGGGAGGAACAGTGCCTTGTCGCTGGTGTCAGTGGGAGGAACAGTGCCCTGTCGCTGGTGTCAGTGGGAGGAGCAGTGCCCCGTTGCTGGTGTAAGTGGGAGGAGCAGTGCCCCATCTTTGGTGCCAGTGGGGTAATCAGTTCCCCTTTTCTGGTATCAGTGGGAGGAACAGTGCCTCGTTGCTGGTGTCAGTGGGAGGAACAGTGCCCCGTCGCTGGTGTCAGTGGGAGGAACAGTGCCTCATCCCTGGTGTTAGTGGGAGGAACAGTGCCCCGTCGCTGTTGTCAGTGGGAGGAGCAGTGCCTAGTCGCTGGTGTCAGTGGGAGGAACCGTGCCCCGTCGCTGGTGTCAGTGGGAGGAGCAGTGCCTAGTCGCTGGTGTCAGTGGGAGGAAACAGTGCCCTGTCGCTAGTGTCAGTGGGAGGAGCAGTGCCCCATTGCTGGTGTCAGTGGGAGGAGCAGTGCCCCAGTTGTCAGTGGGAGGAATAGTGCCCCATTGCTGGGTCAGTGGGAGGAACAGTGCCCCAGTGCTGGTGTCAGTGGGAGGAACAGTGCCCCATTGCTGGTGTCAGTGGGAGGAACAGTGCCCTATTGCTGGAGTCATTTAACACGAATATTAGTTTATAGGGGGCAGCAACTGTGTCCTTCCTGCAACAAATCGCGATTTACAATTGCTGGCACTTATGTTGCAAATGTTCCATAATATAGAGTTCTATAGTCCAGGAGGCAGGGTTGACTACTCTAGTCTCAATTTCAGTGTAGCAGAGTGCTGTGTTGTCAGCCCAAAACAGAAGTAAGGAGAACAGTGGCTTTCTGACAGCATTTTTGAAGGAATAAACAGTGAAATGTTAATGTAATGAAAAGATGGACTGAATATGATTTTTTTTCTTCTGCTCTGAGACACACTTTAATACAGTGTCTGTGCAGAAACTGACGGTTCTACTGAGATCCTACCTACGTGAAAGTACTTGAATTATCATCTGACTATATGTACATTTCAGCCATGCATTTACCTTGCTTGTTAAAAAAGGTTGATGAATTTTTCCCAGAAAAAGCGATTTTTGGTGGTATGCGCCCAAGCAGCTCAATCATACAGGCAATGTGATCTAAAATATAAAAATATAAAATTGGATATTAGTCCACCTTTCTATACTATGCATGGAATGTTTATGTTGTTTGGGACTTTGTATATGAATGTGAAGCTTTATAAAGAGTGACACTTTAATTTAGAGCATGCAGTTCTTTGGCTTGTCCCACCCAGGGGCGGACTGACCATTCGAGCACTCGGGCACTGCCCGAGGGCCTGGGGTCAGTAGGGGGCCCCATGAAATGCCCCTGGTACCATTTATAGGCTTTTTTGGGTGTGTTCTAAGTGTGGGCAAGGACACAGG